AATCAATTAAATTTTTCAGAGTCTTCATTTCTCTACCCTTAACTAAGATGAACAAGACAATAGGAATTTTCCTAGGTTCCTGCCTATTTGTATGTATGTATATATATATATATATATATATATGTATATATATACATATATATATATATATACATATATATATATAATATAGATAAAAAGCTACATAAAAAGCTTAATTAGCTGCAGATCATTGTCAAGGTTTTTTTCTCATGAATAGTCATGAAAGGATGAATCTGCTCAACTTGTTAGATGCATAGGCCTCTTCAGAAAGAGGGAGAAAGAAGATACTCTTGTAAGATGCACATTCTCATAAATGAACTGGCTTATTGTTCTATCTCTGCCATGCTTCTCAAGTTTCCTCTGAGCATCAAAAATTCTTATGTAGCCTAGCTTTACATCTGGCACTCATCTGAGCATTTTGAAGAATAAAGAGAAAGCCTTCTCCTTTCTCTAAGAGGGTTACCAAACCTTTGAAGAATTCCTATGAAGAAATCATTTAAAATGCCAAAGATTAATAGCATCCACTGTGTCACTCATGGGTCTTGTAAGAGGTTGTTCATTTGTCTTGACTTCAACAAGGGATACTGAAACCAGCAAGGCCTGAGTGAGGTGCAGTAACACTCTAGGTAGGGAGTAGCACCTGTTGCAAGAGAGTCAACAAGACATCTGCTAAGCCAGAGACTAAACCTGTTTCCTCTATATGTGCAACCTACTGACCTAGTTGGAGGAGTTTCTTGCAAACATTGCCTTCTTTTGGCCAAACATTAAAATTATGACTAAACGATCATTTTATTTTAGATGTTCTTCAACTAAATTTTATTTATTACCTCTCTCAAATTATTTCTCGGCTCTGGAGTCAGGAGCACCTGAGTTCAAATCTGGCCTCAGACACATCACACTCACTAGCTAGCTGTCTGACTCTGGGCAAGTCACTTAATCCCAATTGCCTCACAAAAAAAAAGAAAAGAAATTATTTCTAAATTTTATCTAAGTTTGATGACAATAATCTAGCTATTCTCTCTCTCTCTCTCTCTCTCTCTCTCTCTCTCTCTCTCTCTCTCTCTCTCTCTTTTGCTTTTTGGTGAAGCAATTGGGGTTAAGTGACTTGCCCAGAGTCACACAGCTAATGAGTGTTATGATGTGTCTGAGGCCTGACAATCTCAGGTCCTCCTGACTCTAGGGCTGGTGCTCTGTCCACAGTGCTACATAGCTGTCTCCAATAATTTATTCTTGATGAATTCAAGTCACCTGGCCTAAGTGATTTATATCCTTGGGTACTGAAGGAATTGGCAGATATGTTTGCTAAGTCATTATCAATAATGTGTTTAGGTAATGTAGCAGCAACAGCAGCAATAGCAGCAGCAGCAGTTAACACTTAAAATTTGCATAGTGTTTTACAAATATTTTCTCATTATATCTTCTTGAGAATTCTCTCAACCAAGAGGAATGGGACCTGTTAAGAGAGGCATCTTGTCAGAGGGGTCTGATGACTATATGTCAAAGATAGGAAGGCAAACTGAATGTAAAGAAATATATTAGAATATTAAGGAAAACTGCTCTCACTGATAGCAACTTCATCATCCTAGGGTACAGATTTGATTTTTATAACCTTTCAGGCCAACTTAGAGAAACAGGCAATCAAAAGCACTTAGGATGATAGATATGCCTCCCATATGAGGGAAAGGAGTAGAGAAAGAGGGAGATCAGATAATGGAGAAGAGTTAGTGGTACCCCACTTTATTTTTAAAAGGAAGAAAACAGTCTGGAAACAAAGGGAATCTTAACTTCCACCCTTAGGGAAATTCTAGAATGTGTCTTTAGAGAAATATTTAGCAATAGAAGTAATGATTACCAAAAAAAATAAAACCCTGAAACCCTGTATAGCTTCATCTAGAACCACCATGCCAAACTAACTTTATTTCCTTTTTTAACAGAGTTACTAAATTGGTAGATTAGGGAAATGCCACAGATATAGTTTATCTAGATTTTATTAAAGCATTCAATGAAATATCTCTAACTATTCTTGTGGGAAGCAAAGAGAAATCTGAACAAGATAATTCTAGAGAAGGATTTAGAAATAGTTCAATGTCTAAAAGTAGACATTAATGGCTCAGTGGCAACTTGGCAAGGGGTCTATAGCGGAGTATTTCAAGGAAGTGAATTTGACCACTTGCAGTTAAATGTTTGTATCTTTTTTAATTTTTATCATTGAATTGGATAAAGATATAGATTTTATAAAAAAGATTTCAGAAACTGGGCATAGACCAGTATCTTACACCATTTACCAAGATAAGGTCAAAATGGATACATGACCTAAAAGAGAGATTTTACAAGAAAATTAGAACACAGAACATATTACTTATCAGACTTCTGGATAGGTGAACAATTTATGAATAAACAAGAAATGGAGAGCATAGCTACTATAAAATGGATCATTTTCATTACATTAAATTAAAGAGTTTTTGTACAAATAAAATAAATGTATCCAAGATCAGAAAGAAAGCTGAAAATTGGGGGGGAAATGTTATAGGCAGTTTATCAGATAGAAGTCTCATATATAAAATATATTAAAAAATCTTGTCAAATCTATAAGAATACGAGTCATCCCCCAATTGATAAATGGTCAAAGGATATGAACAAGCAATTTTCTAAAGAAGAAATTAAAACAATTTGTAGTCATATGAAAAAAATGCTCTAAATCATCATTGATTAGAGAAATACAAATTCAAACAGCCTTGAGATATCATTTTATACCCACCAGATTGGCTAAAATGATAGAAGAAGCAAGTGACAAATGTTGGAGGGAATGTGGAAAAATTGGCACACTAATTCATTGAATTATGAACTGACCCAACCATTTTGGAGAACAATCTAGAATTATGCCTAAAGAGTTATTAAATTACCTATATGCTTTGACCCAGCAATACCACTAATCAGTCATTTCCAAAGGTGATTAGGGAAAAAGGAAAATAACATATATGTTCTAAACTCTTTATAGCAGCTTTCTTTGTGGTGTCAAAGAACTGGAAATTGCGGGGATATCCATCAATTAAGGAATGGCTAAATAAGTTGTGCTAGATGATTGTGATGGAATACTACTGTGCTATAAGAAATGATGAGCTCAATGACTTTAGAAGAATATGGAAAGACTTGCATGGAATAATGAAGAGTGAAATGAACAGAACCAAGATAACATTGTATGCAGTAACATCAATATTGTTTTAAGAATGACTTCTAGCAAATAAGTTATTTTGACTATTATAAATACCCAAATTAACTATAAAGGACATATGAAGAAAGACGCTGTCTGCATCTGGGAAAAGAATTGATAAATAGAAATATGCATAGAATAATTTTACATGTGTGTACATATATATACATATATACACACACACACACACACACATACATACATACACACACACACACACACCTATTTGTGTCTATTGGTAGCCCATCTCTAGGATGGGAGGGGGAGGGAAGAAAAAAAAGAAATTTACATGATAATTTTATTGTATATTTGAAAGGAATAGCAAATCGAATATATCAGATTTACAGTTTCATATGCAATCATCTTTTTTATTGTACTATGTCATAGAAATGCTTGTTTTATTCCATGAATTAAAAATAAAATACAGAAGATATATATATATATACATATACATATACATATACATATGTGTGTGCATGCATGTGCTTGTGTGTGTGTGTGTGTGTGTGTGTGTGTGTGTGTGTGTGTGTGTGTGTGTGTGCATAGTTTACAATCATCAGATTTAGGGAAACCAGAAATCTGAGAAACAATAGCTTGGATTATAGTCATGAGAAAAAGGATTTTGACAGACTAAAGCATGGCTCAGAAAACTACATAGCCCAAAGGCAAATTCCAGCCCATCTTTTTTGTAAGGTGAACTCAGAATGATTTTTACCTTTTAAAATAAAGTTTTATTGCATTTTTAAAAGGTAAAAACCATTCTTAGCTTCTGGGCTCTACAAAAACAGGTGGTAGGAAGAATTAGCCCTAGGGTTATAGTTTACCATTACCTAAACTAGCACACTGTACTGAAGCTGATGAGATGAAATTCAATATAGTTTTATACTTAGGTTCAAAAATTTAACTTCTCCTCTGTGTACCATACTAAGGAGATTAGTAAACTGAAGTAAATTCAGAAAAGGATGACCAAGATAGTAAAAAGCCTTGAGTTCATGTTATATGAAGATTATTGTAGGAACTGGGTAATTTTAGCTTGGAGAGGAAAAGAATCAATGCAGACTCGATATCTGATTTCAAATATTTGTTGTAGAGAGACTAGATTTTTTTTGTTCATTTATTTAGTTGGCCCAAAATGGAAGAATAAAGAGGATAAGAGATTGTTTCCAATGTAGGGTCCATGAGAGGAAAACAAACTTTCTAACAATTAGAACTGTTCAAAAGTGAAATGGGATGCTCAGGAAAGTTGTGGGTTCCCTGTCATTGAGTTCTTTAAGCAAAGGCTGGCAGTCCATTTATTAATTGTATGTGTTATGGAAGGGATTTCTTTGGGGTATGGGTTGGACTAGATAGCTACTTTAGACCTTTCCTGTGATTTCTGCCTGACTTACTTCTCCCCCTTCCTCTGCCTTCTTTCCAAATGTCTTTTAGGTACTGTCCTCCCCCATTAGAATTTAAGATAATAGAGAGAAGGGGTTGTCATTCTTTTTGCTTATATCTGTGCCTATAGTGCCTGGCATAGTGCCTGGCACTTAGTAATTGCCTGCATATTGCCTCTTCTAATAGACTAGGAGTTTAAGTTCCTTCTGTTATTGCTCTATTCATAATTAATCATTTCCTCCTATGGTAATTATACCTTCAAATTTAAATGCTTCCCTTTATGGAAGAAAAACAGTAAACTTCTCATAAATAATTCCTAAATAAGAATATCTAGGACCAGAGAAAGAGAAGGAGTGCCCGCACCTGAGTGCAGGAACTGAGGCTTATGATATTCCACAGACATCTGTGAAACCAGGGTTTGTAGGACAGTAGAGTTTAGCCCTTTGTTCAAGAGATGTCCCCAAGGCTGGTATTTTTGGAATGGAGAAAACTCCCCTCTCAGGGCTGGCCAGACTCAGGATCACTCCTATGCTTATGAGGGTTTGTGTTCAGCTCTCCCTATAGTCCCTATCACTGTGTCACTCAGAACACAATAGTACACAGCAGAATCTCCCATTTGGACTGAGGTTTTCTCCAGGTAGAAGGAAGATTCTTCCTTAATCTTTCTGGTCCAAAATCCATTATTGTCTTTCTCTTGGTCTTTCCCTGATGTTTCTCTCAGGAAAACCTTGAGAGCTTCACTGGGATACTGGATATACCAGAAGAGATAAGGTGTCCTAATGGTCTGATAAGAGCAGTTCAGTGTGAGTGACGCTCCCTCAAAGAGAGTGATGTGTCCTTCTGTCTGGGTCACTGAATCTCCGTAAGTGCCCCCTGAAAAACAAAGAAAAACATTTACTGTAATTAGAGATTAAAGATCTTACTAAATCGATAATATATGTTGAGAGTGACCAATGTCATTGTACTCACCAAATAGTAACAGAATCCCAATCACCAAAGTGGGAGTAGAGATCATGGCTGGTCCAGTGGTTGGGAGGCAGATGTGGGAGAAACAGTACTTCCCTCCCTGGTCCTTCTCTTCCAAGTCCTTCTGTATCAGGATACAGAAGGCAGATGTTACTATCAATGTTACTAATTTTAGGAAAATATCCTTCTTTTTGGTTCTGAGATTGGACGTATAGACTCCGATCTTAGCCAAAGATCAGTCCCTCTCTGTCCCCAAAGTTTGGAGAAAAGTAAGGCAAGAGAAAAAGGCAGAATTGATGCAGAGACTTCATCACACTAAACTGACATGTGACTTTTCTAAGTTGAGAAACATTGCCCTCTTGTGATTCAGCTCAGGAATGGGTTGAAATACTTCTTTGAATATCTAACCCTGTCCTCAACTACCTGGCCTTAATTCCAAGCAGACAAAGGCATCATCATTGTCTAGGCTGTCTATGAACTATGCCAGGTCTTAGAAAGTCTGAGATCTTGCAAGAGTATGTATTTTGGTTTCTCTCATGAATGATAGCTATTTTACTTTCTCAATATAGTTGTCTCTTACCTTCTAAGAGGCCTGCTGATTGACCTTCCTGACATTTTTTATCTTACTATTTCCCTCTTCCTCAAATTTTCTGTTAATTCCTGCCCCTCTTTTTCCTTTCCTTGAATGCCAGGCCACTGTTTTGTCCCTAAACTTATTTCTGCTTTATGCTTTCACACACTCTGATGTCCATGAAGGAGATGTAGGCAGAATTATACAAGTCCTTTTGTATTCTTTAGCACAATGACTAGGAAGTCTTGTCCTTCTGTTGCCCCATGCAGTGGCTGAGAGGTGGAATGTGGTGTTTGGAAATAGAACAAAATGGAGAAGTCAAGAACTTAGAAGTGCAGAAAAGCGAATACTTTGAAGTGAAGAGGACAAACAAAGGTTAGCAGAAGGGCATAATCAATATGAATAGGAAGGGGAGAAGCTGTGTGGCACCTGGCTGCTAAATTATTTAATTTTCATCCCAGTATCACGTCTCCATTTTATTTTGTTCCAACATTTTCTTTCATTATTTGAACTGTCTCATTCTATTTCACTTTAAGGTCTTAGGCTATAAAGCTGGAAGGAATATCAGAGATCATCACATTGTACCCTCTCATTTTAAAGATAGGGAAACTGGGGTCCAAGATACGACTTGATTTGCACAAGATGAGACAGGTAAAAATACCAGAGTTGGGTACTGAATCTAGAATGTCTGACTCCAAATGCAGTATGCTTTCCACTACACCACACTGCCTCTGTCTTGGGCACTCTTTCCGTCATACATATTCTAATTTTATAAACATTTTAGGCTCACAACTACTAATACAGACACACACACACACACACACAAACACACACTCATACATTCATATTTCCATACCCAGTTCATATTTAGTTTACCATTCTTTCCTTTAGAGTTCTCAATTCATTTATAATATCATTTTTAAACTTGTTTCATTTCTTTTGGGAATTCTAATTGACTGTGTTGCCAAGCTATGGTTTTGTTTGAGATTTTGCTTGTTGATGTTGTAGAGATGTTCTCTTCTGGGTTTGTATCTTGGGCTTCTATGATTCCATAATATTTCTTTATTGATGATATTTTTTATTTGTTTATTTAATCATTCTTCCAGCCTTAGTTAACAAATAGAGTTTTTGTCAGGGTAAAGCTCTGCAGACTTTTTGAGCAGTACCAGTACTATAAGCAAGTACCTATATTAACCATGTAATATAAGTTCTGACTTATATTACCTTGGATACTGCTACTATTTCTCCAAGTATTGAGTGATGTGTTCTTGAAAGACCTCAGGTGTGGCTCAGGCCAGGGAGCTTCAAATTTACGTCCTTTCCTAATCAGGCTGATCTAGGGCACAATCTTATCACTACTGTCCTGTATGAGCTTTGTAGGTTCCCACAGGCATTTCCAGTTCTGATAGTTAATGAATTTAAGCTTGTTCTGTTCTTACTCTATCTCTTGTGAGTTATTTCCTCCTATGATTATAATTTCAAATTCAAATTCCCCTTCTGAACTTTCATATTACTATTGAGGGCACCATCATCCTCCCCATCAAATAGGCTCAAAACATAGGTTTCATTCTCAATTCCTCATTCTCTCTGACTTACCATATCCAATTTGTTGCTAAGTCCTCTTGATTCTAACTTCATAGTACATCTTGCATATACCCCTTTCTGTACTCTGACATTGCCTATTATAGGTCCTTATTACTTCATGCAATAGCCTGCTGGTTGGTCTTCCCTTCCCTTCCCTTCCCTTCCCTTCCCTTCCCTTCCCTTCCCTTCCCTTCCCTTCCCTTCCCTTCCCTTCCCTTCCCTTCCCTTCCCTTCCCTTCCCTTCCCTTCCCTTCCCTTCCTTTCCCTATCTCATCTCTCCTCTCTCTAATCTGTCCTTCATCCATCCAGAATGAGCTTCCTAAAATGCAGGTCTCCCTCCAATTCAGTAAACTCCAGTGGCTCCCTATTACCTCTAGGATCAAATATAAAATCCTCTGTTGGGCATTCAAAGCCCTTCATAACCTAGCTCCCTCCTATCTCTCCAGTTTTCTTACAAGTTACTTCCCCTTCCCTCCTCTGCCATCCAACCACACTTGACTCCTTGAGGTTCCTTGCACAAGACTCTGGGTAATTTCAATGGCTGTGTTTCATGCCTAGAATACTCTCCCTCCTCATTTCTGCCTCCTGTATCTACTAGCTTCCTTCAAGTCCCATCTAAAATTCCAGATGCCCTTTAATTACCAGTGTCTTCCATCTATTAATTATCTCCAGTTTATGCTGTATATAGCTTGTTTGTGCAGAGTGATCTTCATGTTGTCTCCTCCATCAGACTTTAAGCTCCTTGAAAAGAGAGACTACCTTGTGCCTTTCTTTTTATCCCTAGAGCTTAGCACAGTACCTGGTACATAACAGGTGCTTTAACAAATGCTTATTGATAAAAGAGCTACCACACCTGAGAGTAGGGACTGGCCCAAAGACAGACTTTTCTTCTCTCCTTTCCAACCACAATCACACCAGTGCTTATGAAAGTAAGGTTTAGCCCTTTCCCTGGGGGATGTTGCCACAACATGTCCTTGTCTGGGAGGAACAGAGTCAAGCTCCCCTTCCAAGGCTGGCCAGACTCAAGATCACTCCTGTGCCTCTCAGAGTTTGTGTTCAGCTCCCCCTGCAGTCCCCATCACTGTGTCACTCAGAACACAATAGTACACAGCAGCATCTCCCATTTGGACTGAAGTTTTCTCCAGGTGGAAGAAAGACTTTTCCTTAATCTTTGTGGCCCAAAATCCATTGTTGTCCTTCTCCTGGTCTTTTCCTGATGTCTCTTTCAGGAGGAGCTTGAGAGCTTCATTGGGATACTGGATATACCAGAAGAGATAAGGTGCTCCACTGGTCTGATAAGAACAGTCCAGTGTGAGCCGTGCTCCCTCAGGGAGGGTGATGTGTCCTTCCGGCTGGGTCACTGAATCTCCGTAAGTGCCCCCTGAAAAACAATGACTTTAGTTACACTCACCATATAAATCATTAAATTCAGCAATTAAAATACGAGTTTAAAGATCCAACTAAACAAAAAAATGAGGGTGATCAATGCCATTGTCCTCACCAAATAGTAACAGAATCCCGATCACTGAGGTGGGAGCAGAGATCATGGCTGATCCAGCCGTGGGGAAGCAGATTGTGGAGAAATAATACGTCCTGCCCTGGAACTGGTCCTTCTCTCCCAAGGAGAAGGATGTAGAAGGCAGATTCAATGGCCAATGTTCCTAATCTTAAGCAAATCCTCCCCCCCCTTTTTTTTGTTCTCAGATTGATTTTATAACCTTTGGGCTCATTCCTCATCTGGGGTCCTCACCATTCGACATGAAGTGAAGACAGAAGAAGAGGCAGAATTTGTGAATAGAAACCATCACAATAAATTGACACGTGGTATTTTTGTGTTGAAAACCACTGCCCTCTTGTGGTCAAGTACATGAATCGAAGTGAAATACTACTGAGTGCCTGCCAATATCTTCAGTCTACTACTGTTCAGTCTCATTTCCAGCAGGGTACGGCAGGAATGGGGGGGTGAAGACAAACTCATCCCTACTGTTCCTATTTTCTAAGTAATATGTCAGGGTATAGTATAGGTCTGATATCTTGCCAGAATTTGCCCTCTAGTCTTTCTCTTAAATGGTTTCCATGTCTCTTTCTCAAAATAACTCTCTTTCCATCCAAGTGGATTGCTGGTTGTGTTTCCTGATTTTTTTTTTTACCCTATAGTCTCTCTTTAGGGCAGCTAAGTCAGTTAGTGGATAGAGTGCCTGGCCTGGAGTTAGGAAGACTCATCTTCCTGAGTTCAAATATGGCCTCAGATACTTACTAGCTGTGTCGTCCTGGGCAAGTCACTTAACCCTGTTTGTCTCAGTTTTCTCATCTGCAAAATGAGCTAGAGAAGGAAATGGCAAACCACTCCAGTATCTTTGACAAGAAGACCCCAAATAGGGTCATAAGGAGTTGGACATGACTGAAAAACAACAAACAATAAAAAGACTGAAAAACAAGACCAAAAAAAATCTCTCTTCCTCAAGATGTCTCTCTGCCATTTTCTGCGTCTCTCTTTTTTTCTTTTTCTTTTTTAGATAAATAAAACATGTAATAATAGCTTACTATGTGCCATGCACAGCATTAAGTGCTGGATATATAAATACAAGCAGGCCAGATACTCTCAGTCATGAAGGAACTTGCCCTCTAATGCAGTAAAATAAAAGAGAACTGAGGAGACAGAGAAATCCAGAGTGAGTCAAATGAGAAATGAGGTGAGTATGGCTAGGACCCCTCATGAAATGTGGTCTTTTTATAATCTTGATGCCCTGATTATTATTAATTTCCTGAAATTGGTTATATTTTTATCCTGTTTCTCCTCTTCTTTCCTGTGCAAGGCAAAAACATGATTCTTATTAGATTCTCTAGTACAATGAATAGGAAGGCTTGGCCTGCTGTGCCATATAACAACTGATAAAATTTGAAGTCTCTGCAAGGAAGAAGGTGAAAAAGGTAGGACCCTAGGAGTACATGCCAAGAGTATTGGAGACTGCAGAAATGGGAAAAGTAAGGGAAGGCCATAAGAATGATATGTTAACATGAATGGGAATAATTCAGGACCTCATCACCTTTTCTTAGTTGGGCTATTTATTGCAATAGCTTCCTAATTGTTCTCTTTATCTCAAGGTTCCATGTATTCCAGTCCATTCTTCACATAGCTACTAAGTGTTTTTCCTAAAGGTCACATCTATGACCATGTTACCTTCTTACTCAGTAAACTATTGGTTCCCTACTATCTCTAGGATGAAGTACAAACTCTTTTGCATTTAAAGCTCTTAACAATCTGGCCCCATCCTACCTTTCTAGCCTTATTGAACATTATTCCCCTTCACACACTCTATGATCCAGCTATATTGCCATATTGACTATATATTAACTATTGAGCTATATGCCATGTATTGACTTATTCTTCTTACATGACATTCAATCTCCCTTCTCTGTGCCTTTACATTCATTGTCCCCCATACCTGGAATGCTCTCTCACCATTCTTGGAATCTACCGTATAGAGAGAAATGTTATAAAAAGTATACAGAAACTACTTCGTAGTTTCCTTTAAAGCTCAACTCAATGTCATCTCTTTGTGAGTTCCTTTCTGATTCTTTTAGATGCCAGTGTTTTCTCCAAGTTTACTTTGTTTCTACCTTATTTATAGTTTAACTACACCTACAAATGTGATTGGTATATAACTACATGTTGTCTGCCCCATTAGAATGTAACCTCCTTGAGGGCAGGGGTTGTTTTTCTTTTGTCTTTGTATCCTGGCCACCTAATAAAGTTTCTGGAATCCAGTAGACAGTAAATCATGGCTTATTTGCTTGACCAACTTATTTCCCACTCCAGATTCACATCTTCATTATATTTTCTTCTGATATCTCCTTTCATGTTCTTTTTTGTCATATCTTGGGTCATTTTAAGATCTTAGGAGCTAGAACTATAAGAAACCTTAGTTATCATCCAATCAAATTCCTTCACATTACATATTAGGAATCTGAGGCACAGAGAGGGGAGGTCACTTGCCCAAGGTCACTTAAGTAATAAATAGTCAAGTTAAGATTTTTATCCAGGACCTCTGTCTTCAAATTCAGGACTCCTTTGACTGTATTGCTTTTTTTGTACATTCTTCCTATAATATGCATTCAATAACTCACTGACAAATATATTAGCATATTCACTATTATAACCCCTCTCACCATAAATGATACATGCACATAGATTGTCCAGTCTGTTTTCTTTCTTTCTTTCTTTTTTGGCTAGACAATGGGGTTAAGTGACTTGCCCAGGGTCACACAGCTAGTAGATGTTATGTGCATGAGGCCGCATTTGAACTCAGGTCCTCCTGAATCCAGGGCTGGTGCTCTATCCACTGCACCACCTAGCTGCCCCCAGTCTGTTTTCTTTCTACTGAGTTCTGGGCCCGTCTCCTTATTCCAGATTCCTGTCCAAGTTGTATGTATTGATGGACTATAAAGGCAGGCTTTCCATCTAGCTACATTGCTATCACAGTAGCAATATTTTATTTATTTTGCTTTTCTGATGTGGATGACTAAATCAACCCCTTTCTCATTGCCATAGATTTCTCCTGGGAAGCTTTGTAGTGTTCCAAGGCTCTATACAATTAACATGATGTCACCTATAAATAAGCATATTTGAAGAACTTTGCTCTCTATGGGGAATCCTCTGGTTCAGATTCTGTATATGACATCTCACATGATACTGACAAACATCTTAGTTAAGCATACACTTCCCCAATTGACGCCTTGTTTGATGTCACTTCTCAGTGAAAAACCAAACAAAATTATCTCCATAGTTACATATGTGATAGAATCATTTGTGATTTTAATATATGCATACAAGAAACCTCAAAGATGTCAAAGCTTCATTTTGTTTTGCCACGTCAAATCATTTGTTTAAAAACCAATAAAAACACACAAGGCAGGATATCATATTTTCCCCTAGTTTTCAGCCAATTTTGTGACAGGATAGACTTAGATCACTGTATAAAACCATCTTCAAAAGGTAACCTACTTTTAATGAGATATCTTCAATACATTCATAGACCATTTTCATAAAAAATTTATTGAGACGTGGAAGCAGAGATATATAGTTTGGTTTTTGCTCACGTCTTCTCAGTTGGTTTAATAAATAGGAATACTTTTCATGACCTTTCATATTCCTTCAGAATCTTCTCTTCTGTAAGATAACTTGAAAAGTTATCTTTTGGACTGAGAAAATTTGGACTGCTTCCAGAACAGCTTTCTAATCCATAGATACCGCCAAATTCTGCTGCGCTTCCTTGTTTAAGATAATAGGGCTTAGAGCTGAAAGGGACCTAAGAGAGCACGTAGTCCAACTATCCTTATTTTATAGATAAGGATATTGAGGCTCAGAGGGGTTTAGGTGACTTTACCAAAGACAAAACCATAGCAAGTAACATAACCGGAATTTGAACTCGGGTCTTTGAAATTCTAGGAAGCTAGGTGGCACATCAGATAGAACACAGAACTTAGAATTAAAAAGACATGAGTTCAAATCATGTTTCACACCTTTATGAGCTATTTGATCCTAAGCAAGTCACATAACTTATTTCATCCTCAGTTTCCTCATCTACAAAATGGGGATAATAATAGTACCTTCCTCATAGTGTTGTTCTGAGGGTCAAATGAGAAAACTTATGTGAAGTGCTATATAAATACTTGCTATCATTCTGTCTCAAAACTCAATGATTATTCAATGATTTAAGACAATTCCGAAAGACTCATGATGAAAAATGCCTTCTACATCAAGGGAAAATCTCAGTGCAGATTGAAGCATATTAATTTCACTTTTTTTCTTTCTCATGGTTTTCCCCTTTTGTTCTGATTCTTCTTTCACAACATGACTAATGTGGAAATATATTTAATATGATTGTACATGTATAGCCTATATCAGATTGCATGCCCTCTTGGGAAGGGGAAGGAAAGGAGGGAGAAAAAAATTTGGAACTCAAAATCTTATAAAAGTAAATGTTGAAAACTATCTTTACATGAAATTAGAAGAAAACAAAATACTATTAAGTGGCAAAAATCCAATGCTTTTTTGGTTTTGAGTGAATGTTCTTAAGTGTTACTGTAAATTTTTACACATATTACACAAAAATGCTGGTAGAGACCTTTAAGAAGATGGTAGAGTGAGAGGTGGCAAGAGGATTTGTCAATATGCCCCTCAGAAAGAAATGTAAAAAATGCCCAGGAAAAGCAAACCTATCAGACCTTTACAGAAGAAAATGTTTTTTTAGGGAAAAAACACTCAAAGAAAGGTACGAATAAAAGAATTTTCCATGTAATAGAAAGATAACAATTTAAAGTAATAAGACACCAACATTAGAAAAAAATTTGTACTCTACATCAAGAAAACTAGAATTTCCTCAAGACCTATTAAAAGGTATAATGCACTAGGAAATGGAACCAAAAATATCACAAGAAGAAATAAAATAATTGAGTATAACTTTAAAACTTCATGACAAGATAATGTTGGGATTCAACAATTTAGAATTATTCACGAAAAATATCAAGAAAACAAGAGGTAAAAAATGCAGAATCATTTCATTGGAGGACAGACTATCAGAATGTATTAGTTAATACATATCTATTAAGCAATTACTATGTGTTAGGCATTGTGATATGAGCTGGGGATACAAAAAAGGGGGAAACAGCCACTGTCCTTAAGGAGTTTACATTCTGATTACGAAGAAACACACACACATACACACACACACACACACACACACACACACACACACAAAGTAGATTCACAGTA